GGGAGTGGGCAGATCGGTGGGGGTAGTTCCATTTTTCCAAATTCTCCTTGGAACGTGGAATTACACTTTTTACTGCAGTAAAGAAAAGTCAGGTCACTGACCTGGCTAAGCTAGGCATTAATGTAATGTAATGTAAATCTCTGGACAAAAATGCAAATGCTTTGAAAGGTAAGGCTCCATTAGCATATTTCGCTTTTGCGTTTCCAGCCCGGGTTTCCATGTGGAAGACCGCACGAGACGCTTGTCATGTGGCCATGTATTTAGTTAAGTATTAAGGCCATTTTATTTATTTCTTTATACAGGTATTTATACAGTGCCGACAATTTATGAAGCGCTTTACATACTACACATTCACATCAGTCACTGCCCTTGAGGAGCTTACAGTCTAAGGCCCCTATCTCACATGCATACATACAGGGCCAATTAAGACAGGAGCCAATCAGAAACCAATTAGTTGTTTCTTTCTATATACTTGAGAGATTACCTAGATTCGGGGGAGTTTAATGGAGGTCCCTGGCTGTAGTTCCCTAAAATTAATTGTGCAGCACTCAGGGCCTTCCGTATAATGAGTCCGCCTGAGCATCTCATTGGGTCACTTGGTGAGGGCAGCAGGTGTGCCTGCCACCCCCTTTTCAGCCAGAACGTCCCAGGTTGCTAAGAGCTCTTAGCAGCATTTTACTCTGTCCAGCATCCCGCCCAGTTCACTGACATCACAGGTGGGACACTCTAGCTGGCATCCCACCCAGCTCCAGGCAACCAGTGTCAATGTCAATGAGCTGTGCGGGATGACAGATAGAGGTACAATGCACAACCACAGCCCCCTTCCCCCCGATGTGCACAAACAACATACCTGGCACCCCCCCTCCCCGATAACGTGCACTGCTAGCACCCAATGCCCACTCAAATCACCTCCCATTGGCAGCGAAAATTGTCGAGACGCCCTTGGTAGCACTTAAGCAAGATTATGGCTGCTTCCATTAGAGCTTTATCACAGGCATAAGTTGCTTCATGCTAATCAGACAACGCTTTGCTGGTTTAATGCAGAGCCCATTCATTTCCAAATTACTTACCTTGATCATGCTGAGGCTAAATGATTTACTATTGTTCTCCATCTAAAAGATTTATTTTCGATCAGCAGTAAATGGTTTCTCTGCCTTCAACAAGGGAATTCATGAAATTTTTTCAATCTGTTTCCTGGAGCTTGTCTGTCATGGACTTGTGACATGTATTATTTATGACGGCTTTCCTTTCTCAATGAAGTTAAAATTTAATGCTATAATACCTAAGGTACCTAAGACTCCCCGCAGTATTTCCCGTCATACTGTGTGCTGTTTGTCGTTTCATAAGCACATCATTTCTATTGTAGTAATAATAATAATGAAGGTAATAATAGTAATTACCATTAAAGGGAAACTAATCCTGTCATTTATATGTTTGTTATATGGACTAAGCAATGATTGAACAAATCTAGAATTGTAAAAGCACGTGACAAAATAGTAAAGTGTTTCAGTATTTTTGGAGGACAGTGCTGAAAATATTCAATAATAAAACAAAAAGCTATTTATTTAATACTTAATCCTAGACAACTCTGATTCTAAGATTCTACCTTTTGCATATTTCAGGTTTTTTCCTTTAAAAAATGCCCACACCTTCCACCTTACCTGGTCCACATAAAAGCTTCACCCAATTCATCTCCCAAATTGTGGCTCCTCCCCACCCTTCCGGGATTGTAGCAGTAAAATCCACATTTTGGAAAGGTGTGGTTTGCCATACATAAGTACAGAAGTACAAATGACAGACTGATATGACTGAAGGATAGGCATGGACTGGCGTTCATGTTCGGTTCCAGCCTTGGTCTGGCATGCCATATCTTATCCTCAAAATGTATCTGACAGCTACATAAAATTTGGCCAGATTGTTACGTTTTCCCCAATGGATTGACATACATTTTTGCAGCCAATGGGAAATAATGGATCAGTTTCCCCACTTTGGCTCATCTAGACCTATAACACATAGAACCAATGACTAGTAGTCCAGGGAAAGATGTAACCTAACTCTGCCAGAAAGAAGTAGCAGTTCTCTTGGAACATGGCAATCTCATGTAATGTCAAAGTTCTGATAAAGCATAGGAGCATCACTCTTGGAACTTGGCAGTCTTATGTAATATAACAGTTCTGATAGACCATGGCAGCTCTCTCTCTGAATTTGGCAGTCTCATTTAACATAACTAGGGATGCACTGATACAGATACTAGTATCATTGTAGGTGCCGATACGGAGTATTTGAGCGGGTACCCGTACTCGCCCAAATGCTCCAATGCCTGGCCCAATACCCGAACTTCCGGTATCAGGAAGCCGGGCAGCGAGTCATTACATGCTGCCCGGCTTCCTGATTAGCCGGGAAGCCGGCTTCATGCTCTCTTGCCACCAGGTGACGAGGGAGCATGGAGCCGGCTTCCCAG